TGATATTCCAAAAATCTTCCTACTTGAAGGTCTAAATGGACACATAATCTGAAGGCTGCACAGTAGCCCAGCTTGGGAACAGAAGTTTACATCGTCTCCCAGCAATACCCCAGGGTGCTGTCCCCCCAAGAAGAATCTTCAGAAAGGATCTATTGTCTGAATTTGGACTACAATGGGGTTAGAACTTCCTGCGTCTCTCCCTTCTCCTCTCAGTCCTTCCCCTCCATTTCTCTCTTCTTTCCTTCCTCCCTCCCTTCCCTTCTCCCCCCCCCTCACACACACACAGAGGGTAGAACTTGGGGCCTGGGCATTATGTCTTAGCAGTTTTTGATCAAGACTGGCACTCTACCAATTGAATCACACTTCATCTTTCCAGCTTTGTTGGTGGTTTATTGTAGACGAGTCTCATAAACTTCCCTAGCTCGGGCTGGCTTCGACCTTAAATCCTCTGATCTCAGCCCTCATGAGTAGTAGGATTATGGGCCTATTATGAGCCATTAGTCTGTATCTCTTGACCTCACAGGCCCTCCACTGCACACTGCGTAGGTAGCTTCTCTGCAAACAAAACTTGGCCTGCTAGGGCGGCTCTCATCCAAACCCAATGAGAGTGTTTCTCGCTAGCTACCAGAGGATTTACGCTACTAAATGCAACGGACACAGGAACAGGAGCACTGTCCTCAAGAACAACCCTGGAGACTCCTCTCCATGGTCAGGGCTGTGGTTATTCTGTGGTTTCATACCAGCCAGGACTAAAGGCAGTTGCCCATGAACTCCTGCTTATCACCTCCTCTGATGCTATGTCATTAACAGGGTAGTGAAAGCATGGTGGTCCACCCCTGTGCATGCTGGGGCAGAAGAACAACACTCAGTTCCAACTAGGCTCCTGTGATGCACAGCCTATGACAGTTTGGAGAAACTGGGCACTGATGACTGTAATCCTAGCTACTCAGGAGGCTGAGATCTGAGGATAGTGGTTTGAAGCCAGCCCGGGCAGAAAAGTCTGTTAAGACTCGTTAGCCACCAAAAAAAAAAACTAAAAGTGGAGCTGTGGCTCAAGTAATAAGAGCACTAGCCTTAAGCAAAAGACACTTAGGGACAGTACCCAGGCCTAGAGTTCAAATCCTTGGGATGGGCACAAAAATTAAAAACATAAGCTTGGAGAAAAATGCCTTTTTTTCCCTTCAATACTGGGGTTTGATCTCAGGGCTCTGCCCTTGCTCAGCTGATACTATCACTCCAGCCACACCTCTAGCCTGGCTTTTAGCTGGTTATTTTGGAGAACTGAGTCTCCAGGACTTCCCTGCCCAGACTGGCTTCAATCTGTAATCCTCAGCTAGGATTACAGGTGTGAGCGCGGTGCAGTCAGAGAGAAACTTTACTGGGCCTCCAGCCATGGTCAGCTTTCCCTGGCTCCCTCCAGCTCATCAGCTGAGAGCAACGGGGAGGGTTAACCCCCAGCTGTATCCACTCCTGCTCATGCCTAGCACGCACGATGACTGAAATAATGGGGGGGAGACAAGTCTGAATTGTGCTCCATCCTGAGGCGCGCATGGTCAGGGAGGGTCTGGTGTCTGTAACTGGGCGCGCACACTCACACAGCGAGATGAACACACCTCGACTACCACCATATCTATGTGGATCCTGCTGCCCACACCCCCCCCCGCCTTGTCTGATCACACACTCCTGACAGCAATAGGCAGGAATGCCACAGAGGGGCCCTAGGATTCCAGCACTTTCTAATCAGAGGCCCCAGGCTTCCACGCTCTCAACAGGACACGTGCAAGTAGTGCTGGAGGCCCTTCGCAAGGAACAGAGCCCGTAAAAGCAGCGCCATGGTGAACACGACGCAGCCTCTCACAACACTGAAAGCATTCTGAGTGTGGTGACACACGCCTGCTCTCTCGTCACTCAGGAAGCTGAAGTGAAGAGGATTGAGCGTTCAAGGCCAGCCTAAAGCAGAAGACCCTGTCTTGCTAGAAAATATCAAATGAGTCAAAGTGTAACAAAAGCAGAACCTATCATTTGTTCATAATGCAAAAAAAAAAAAAAGTAATCACAGAGAGTAAATGGTCAATTAGTAGTGGTTATTAGTGTAAACAAATTAAAAATGAGCAGCAGGAGTTCACAGAAGCCCCTGGCCATGCATGCCTCGGAAGTAGGGAAACTGAGGCTTGTCTCTGCGCCACGATTTCAGGTGTGGTGGGTGCTGGGCATCAGCAGGAGTGGGCGCAGCTGGGGACACGTTACAATTGCTCCCAGCTGATGAGCTGGTGGGAGCCACTAACATGGCTGGGTGCTGGGCAAAGTTTCTCTCTAAGCTGAACAAAGGGGGCTCACTCCTGAGGTCCCGGCTGAGAACTAGAGGATTCCAGCTTGAACGTCAGTATAGGCAGGAAAGGCCTGGAAACACCATCTCCAAAATAAGCAGCCCCAAACCAGGCTGGCAGCGTGACTCAAGTGGTCGAGCAAAAGTGGAGCAGTGGGAATTCCTGAATTCCAACCCTATTAGGCAAAGGAACAAAAACCCATTTCTCTCCAGACTCGAAGCTGTGCTCTAAAGGGGCGCTTGAAATCTGAAGCACAGTGTTGCTCCCTTGACCCCCAGGTGCCCTTGTGGGAGAGGGGACAGCGAAGTGTTTTGGTCTATCCAGTTAGTGACATGGCATCAGAGGAAGGGATAAGCAATCCCCCGCCAGGCCCCTAACCATGGAGTCGCTTGGCTTCCTCCAGTGTTTGAGGACAGCGCCTCCGTCCCTGCCTACTCCGTTTAGCAGCATATATCTTTCAGAAGCTAGGAAAAAAAACTCTCCTGGTTTGAGCCCACTCACTAGGCCCAAGTTTGGTTCCTAAGGAATCTACTCCCACAAAGCCAGTGCATCAGAAGGCCTGTGGAGTTTCAAAAGATGGAGTCCTGACCCCCCAAAAACAGTCCAAACTTAAGACTTGGTAAAGAACTAGGCCCCACTTTTAGTCCTGCAACCAATACAAGTTTTATTCCAAGAAGCTTTTCATCCCTCACACTAGCAATTTCCCTCCCTTGCTAAATTTGAAAAATATTTTCTATATTCCTGTTACTAGATTTGTGTTAGCATGAGAAAATTGCCAACCCAATCAGCTTCAACGGTGAAAGATTTGTTTAGGCTTACCGTTTCAGTCCATGGTCACTTGGTTCTTCTGTTTCTGGGACGTAGCAAGCCAGACACTGCGGAAGAAGCTACCTGCATAGTGTAGCCAAAACACCAAAGACCCAGGGGTCTGATAGCCCCTTCTAGGCCACTCCCCCAATGAACACCCCAGTCAAGAGGCCCCACCTCTTAAAGAATCTACCACCTCTTAAAAGGCACACAGGCTGTGAAACCAAGCCTGCCTGGCCTATAGACCTTTGGGAAATATTCAAACATCTGAAACCTCACATCTCTCTTATGTAGCTCACTAGTTTCATTTCATGTGTCATACAGTCTAAAGAAGAAAAAAACCTGTGAAAAAGTCAACATTCAGCTAGGCGCTGGTGGCTCACGCCTGTAATTCTAGCTACTCAGGAGGCTGAAATCTGAGGATCACAGTTCAAAGCCAGCTCGGGCAGGAATCTCCCTGAGACTCATCTCCAATAAAGCAGCTGAAAATCGGAAGTGGCGCTATAGCTCAAGTGGTAGAGCGCTCGCCTTGAGCTGAAGAGCTGAGGGACAGCGCCCAGGCCCAGAGTTCAAGCCCCACGACCGACAAAAAATAAAATAAAATTCAGTTGTAGTTCTACTATGTGGATCCAACATCAAATAAACTACATATGACCAGTGTAATCTTTCTTTAATGAGTTAGAACAGAACTGGGGTGCAACCCACAGGTGACCACCAGCGGGAACTGACATCTAACACTGATCAAGTGAGTGCAAAAGAAATTGTAATGAGGCTGACTACAGCTTCATCCTTCCTTTTAGGGCTTTGCAAAGCCTTATAAATGTGAGCATGTGTGTGTGTGTGTGTGTGTATACTTTGTACTTTATAAGGTTGTATACTCATATGTATTATATATATATATATATATATATATATATCCTCTATTTTACAGATGAGGAGGTGGCATGAGGAAATAAAAAAAATCTGTTCACCATCAAATCTGTTCAGTTCTTTCTAGGGCTGTATTAGTTACACAGACACACAGACACACACACACACACACACACACACACACACACACACACACACACACACACACACACACACACACACACACACACACACTCCTAGAACTAGAACCAGCTCCACCTGCAGTGGGCGTGGCCGGGGAGCAGAGCCGCCCTTTGATTATACGCCTCGCAGGCCCCGCCCGCCGCGCGTACGCTCGTGATGTCATCGCGCAGGGCCGAGGCGCCGCGGCCAGGCTCGGGGACGCGCGCGTGGTTGAGCGGGGCG